CCACCTCCTGGGTTCAAGCAATTCTCCTGCCTCAACCTCCCAAGTAGCTAGGATTGCAGGCATGCACCACCCCACCTGGCTAAGTTTTGTATTTTTAGCAGAGACGGGATTTCACCATGCTGGCCAGGCTGGTCTCGAACTCCCGATCTAAGGTGGTCTACCCGCCTCGGCCTTCCAAAGTGCTGGGATTACAGGCGTCAGTTAGTGTGCCCTATATAGTTTTTTTTTTCTTAATATATGTTTTCAATTATCTTGGGTATATACCTAGTAGTATAATTTCTGGGTCATATTGTAATTCTGTTTAACATTTTGAAGAACCGTTTTCCAAAGCTGCACATTATTTTATATTCACAGTAGCAATGTATGATGGTTCTAACTTCTTCACATCCTTACCGAGACTGTTATTGCCTGTCTTTTTGCTCATAGCCATCCTGGTTGATATGAAATAGTATCTCCTTGTGGTTTTGATTAGTATCTAGGTCCTTGGTTCTATTTTTAAAAGTATTCCAAAGAATAACAACACACACACATATCTAAAAATGAATGTCTTGGCCGGGCACGGTGGCTCAAGCCTGTAATCCCAGCACTTTAGGAGGCCGAAGTGGGCGGATCACTTGAGGCCAGGAGTTCAAGACCAGCCTGGCCGACATGGTGAAACCCTGTCTCCACTAAATATACAAAAATTAGCCAGGTGTGGTGGTGCATGCCTGTAATCCCAGCTAGTTGGGAGGCTGAGGCACGAGAATCACTTCACTTGAAATCGAGAGGTGGAGGTTGCCGTGAGCCGAGCTCGCACCACTGCACTCTAGCCTGGGCGACAGAGCAACACTTTACCTCAGAAAAAAAAAAAAAAGAATGTTTCCATTTATATCATTAAGTATATCTTAACTAAGCTTATATGAGTGATTTTTTTTTTTTTTTGAGACAGGGTCTTGCTCTGTTGCCCAGGCTGGAATGTGGTGGGGCAATCTCAGCTCACTGTGACCCCTGCCTCCCTGACTCAAGCTATCCTGCCACCTCAGCTTCCCAAGTAACTGGGACTACAGGCATATGCCACCATGCCCAGCTAATGTTTGTATTTTTTGTAGAGACAGGATTTTGTCATGTTGCCCAGGCTGGTCTTGAACAGCTGGGCTCAAGCAATCCACTAGCCTGGGCCTCCCAAAGTGCTGGGATTACAGGCATGAGCTACTGACCCAGCCAAAACAAACCAAACCAAAACAAACAAACAAACAAACAAAAACGTGTTTTAATGTTAAAACAATTTTAAAATCTACACTTATCTGGTCTTCACAGTCTCTGGAGTCAGCCCAATCACGATATGATCTTTTTAGAACTGAGCATCACTATAGCCATACAGAAATTAGAAGGATTATAAGGGAACAATTTTATGCCAAAAATTTTGACAATTTAGTAGACAATTTCCTAGAAAGAGACAAATTACAAAAACTAACCAAGACAAAGTAGAAAATCTTAATAGACCTGTATCAAGTTAAAAAAGAAAAAAAAGGAATTAGTCATTAAAAATCTTCTCACAAAGACAAGTCCAGGCCCAAAGTTAAAAAGTTAGCTGGGCATGGTGGTGCCCGCCTGTAGTCCCAGCTGTTAGAGAAGCTGAGGTGAGAGAACTGCGTGGGCCCCAGAATCGGGGGCTGCAGAGAGCTATGATCGTGCCACCGCACTCCAGCCTCAGAGGCAGAGTGAGAACCTGTCTTTACAAAACCCACAAAAACATTTAAGGAATAAATAATATGAATCTTGGCCGGGCGCGGTGGCTCAAGCCTGTAATCCCAGCACTTTGGGAGGCCGAGACGGGCGGATCATGAGGTCAGGAGATCGAGACCATCCTGGCTAACACGGTGAAACCCCGTCTCTACTAAAAATGCAAAAAACCAGCCGGGCGAGGTGGCGGGCGCCTGTAGTCCCAGCTACTGGGGAGGCTGAGGCAGGAGAATGGCGCAAACCCGGGAGGCGGAGCTTGCAGTGAGCTGAGATCCGGCCACTGCACTCCAGCCAGCCAGGGCTACAGAGCAAGACTCCGTCTCAAAAAAAAAAAATAATAATAATAATATGAATCTTACAGCAAAATAAGGTAAAGAGAATACTTCACAACATGTTTTGTGAGGCCAGATATCAAAGCCAGACAAAAACATTACAAGAAACAAACTATAGTCAAAAATCCCAGGCCAGAGGCCTGGCACGGTGGCTCACGCCTGTAATCCCAGCACTTTGGGAGGCCAAGGTGGGCGGATCACCTGAGGTCGGGAGTTCGAGACCAGCCTGACCAATGTGGAGAAACCCCTTCTCTACTAAAAATACAAAGTTAAAATTAGCCGGGTGTGGTGGCACGTGCCTGTGCTTGAACCTGGGAGGCAGAGGTTGCGGTGAGCTGAGATCGCACCACTGCACTCCAGCCTGGGCAACAAGAGTGAAACTCCCTCTCAAAAAAAAAAAAGGCCAGGCCAGGTGCAGTGGTTCACACCTGTAATCCCAGCACTTTGGGAAGTTGAGCTGGGTGGATCGCTTGAGTCCAGGAGTTTGAGATCAGCCTGGGCAACATGGCAAAACCTCATCTCTAAAAAAATAATAATTTTAAAAAAAGAGCTTTGCACAGCGGCAGTAATAAAAGAGCTTTGCACAGTGACCACTGGCGTTTATCTGAGGCGCAGTTATTACTCTTTGAAAACTTTTCCCAGTACCCCTCTGTGACAACTTGCAATGTCGTCAGCATTGGCGATTTTTGACAGTCTCTATGGAGACTGAATTTTTAAAAAATACAAAAAATTAGCCGGGTGTGGTGGCCCACGCCTATATAACCTCCGCACTTTGGGAGGCCAAGGTGGAATGACTGCTTGAGGCCAGGAGTTTGAAACCAGCCCAGGCACATAGTGAGACCTTGTCTCTACAAGAATAAAAAATCAGCTGGATGTTGGGTAGTGCATGCCTGTAGTCCCAGCTACTTGAGAGGCTGAGGTGGGAGGATCACTTGAGTCGGAGAGGTGGAGGTTGCATTGAGCCGAAATAGCACCAATGCACTCCAGCCTGGGCAACAGAGCTGGACCCTCTCAAAAAAAAAAAAAAAAAGAAGAAGAAAAATCCAGATTGGAAAAGAATAAGCAACACTATCTTTATTCACAGATGACATGATATTATTATATGTAGAAAATGCTAAGGAATCTATGAAACAACAGCTGATACTAGAACTGAGAATTAGCTTTAGCAAAATCATAGAACATAAGATCAATATACAGAAAATTTCAGTTACACAAACACAAATACAAATCAATTGCACTGTTACATAATATCAAGGAACGATCCAAAAATAAAATTAAGAAAACAATTCCATTCACAACAGCATCAAGTAGAATAAAATATTTAGGAATAACAAAAACTCTTTTTTTTTTTTTGAGATGGAGTCTTGCCCTGTCGCCTAGGCTGGAGTGCAATGGCATGATCTTGGCTCACTGCAACCTCTGCCTCCCGTGTTCAAGCGATTCTCCTGCCTCAGCCTCCCGAGTAGATGGGATTACAGGTGCCCACCAGCACACCCGGCTAATTTTTTCTATCTTCAGTAGAGATGTGGTTTCACCGTGTTAACCAGGATGGTCTCGATCTCCTGACCTCGTGATCCACCCACCTCGGCCTCCCAAAGTGCTGGGATTACAGGCGGGAATAACAAAATTTCTTAAATGAAGCCATCTATAATAGACGGATCAACATGCCTGCATAATAATTTCAGCTTGGCCTCTGAGTAACTACGTACAATTTACATAACTTCTCTGAACCTCCTTTCTCTCATCCTTTTTTTTTGAGACTGAGTCTTGCTCTGTGGCCCAGGTTGAAGTGCAGTGGTGCGATCTCAGCTCACTGCAACCTCTGCCTCCTGGGTTCAAGTGATGGTCCTGCCCCAGCCTCCCAAGTAGCTGGAATTATAGATGCGCCACCGTAATTTTTGTATTTTCAGTAGAGACAGAGTTTCACCATGTTGGCTAGGCTGGTCTCGAACTCCTGACCTCAGGTGATTTGGCCATCTCAGCCTCCCAAAGTGCTGGAAGTACAGTCGTGAGCCACTGTGCCCTGCCTCGTTTCTCTCTTCCTTAAGTTGAGGATACCAATTATAGTACTTCTTGCCTTACAGGGCTGTTATGAGCATTAGAACATATTTACAGTGTCAAACACTACACAGTGATAGTTATACTTAATAAAGCACCCAGGAGCTGTTTGCCTTCCCAGTCTCCTAGTGGAAGTGGTATGAAAATGCACTTATGGGTCAGGCACAGTGGCTCACGCCTGTAATCCCAGTACTGTGGGAGGGCCAAGGTGGGTGGATCACTTGAGCTCAGGAGTTCAAGACCAGCCTGGCCAATATGGCGAAACCTTGTCTCTACTAAAAATACAAAAATTAGCTGGGCGTGGTGGCGGGTACCTGTAATCTCAGCTACTCGGGAGGCTGAGGCAGAAGAATCACTTGAACCCGGGAGGCAGAGGTTGCAGTGAGCCGAGATCATGCCCCTGCACTCCAGCCTGGGCAACAGAGCGAGACTCTGTCTCAAAAAAAAAAAAAAAAAAAAAACTCCTACTTGTACTTGTTCGTTTTCCTTTTCTTAAACAGAAAAAAAAAAAGAAACCCCCTGTATTCATTAGCACATGATATAGAGGTGGCTGTTTTGCCTTGCTGCAGAGGAGCCATCATTCCGGACCCAGTTAGTTGGGACTGTGCTTGGATTCCCAGCCAGATTGCTCAGTCTGAACCTGAAGTCACCAGCAAGACATTTATTTTTCATGCCATAATTTACCCATTTTGTAAAAGGTTGCAACTTTCATTTGTCAGTTTGGAATACCATTTTTTCCTTCTTTCTTATGTTACAGTGTTTTAGGAAGAATTTTAATCACATCATATTGAATAACTGATTTGTCTTTAAAGCTGCCTTTTTTTTTTTAGTATTACAGTGTATGCCATTGAGTTGAACTTTCTTTTCCTTCACTTTCCTTCTCTTAAGGGCTTACGGAAACCAGCTCCTTTTTCTGATGAAATTGAAGTTGACTTTAGTAAGCCCTATGTCAGGGTAACTATGGAGGAAGCCAGCAGAGGAACTCCTTGTAAGTAAATACCTACCTAATTTGTTGTTTTACTGTTGTTTTTAGCATTCCATTGTGTTTATCAAATACACACCTGCTCTCTACATACTTCCCTCCGATTGCTTGTAAAGGCCAGCGGTGAAGGGGTTCTTCCCACCTGCCTTGATGTTCCATTTAGAGGGTAACTCACTCCATAAACTTTCATGTTTTTCTTATTATTATACACCTGTTTCCTGGGCTGCTGTTGTAGGTATGAGGTATAGTAAAGCAGAAACAATACGATATTATATTAGCCTGAGCTGAGTTATGATCTTATCTGTTTCTATAAAGTCCAAATCATATGTCAGGCTGTCACATTCTTCATAGCCTTCAGAATTCCCCACCACCTCTCTACGCTCTGTCAGCTGGCTATGATGCTGCCGATTGATAGAGAACAAAAATATCCCAGGTTGGGAGATGCTCATCACTTAATTTTATTTTTACTGATATTATAATTTTCCAGGTTCTAAAAAATACTTTATTATTTTCAAAGCCCTTGCTCTTTATTTGTATGCTTAATTTACATCATTAATTAGCAGTTTTTGACCACATAAATTACTAACATATATTCAAGATGCTTTTCTTATGTGGGGCAATTGGTTTTAGAGATCACTGTAAAAATAAACTTCCAAGAGCATTTGTTATGAATACAAAGTCTTACAGCAAATATTCTTTCTTCTCTGTAAATTCCCCCATTCTCCTTTTTTTTCCAATCCTTTTTCACTTCTTCTGATTACTATACTAAGTGTTCTTTCTACCCTGTAAATATAGGGCTGAACTAAGACTCAGGCAGACACCAGGGAATAAGAGGGAGTTATAGCCACAAATCTGTACATTTAGTATATTTGTGGTTACTTCTTAATTGTATTGGTATGTTTGCTTTCTGTTGTAACTAAAGAACAGTGAAATACAAATAGAAGTGGGCCAGGAGTGGTGGTTCACACTTGTAATCCCAGCACTTTGGGAGACCGAGGCGGGCGGATCATCACTTGAGGACAGGAGTTTGAGACCAGCCTGGCCAACATGGTGAAACCCTGTCTCTACTCAAAATACAAAAGTTAGCCAGGCGTGGTGGCAGGCCCCTGTAGTCCCAGCTACTCGGGAGGCTGAGGCACGAGAATTACGTGAACCCACTGCACTCCAGCCTGGGTGACAGAGTGAGACCCTGTCTCAAAACAAACAAAAAAACAAATAGAAGTGATGTACAGTGTCATACCGGGATTTTTTTTTCTTTTGAGGCAGAGTCTCACTCTGTTGCCCAGGCTGGTGTGCGGTGGCACAATCTTGGCTCACTGCAACCTCTACCTCCCGGGTTCAAGCGATTCTTCTGCCTCAGCCTCCCGAGTAGCTGGGATTACAAGTGCCCGCCACCCCACCCAGCTAATTTTTGTATTTTTAGTAGAGATGGGGTTTCACCATATTGGCCAGGCTGGTCTGGAACTCTTGACCTTGTGATCCACCCATCTCAGCCTCCCAAAGTGCTGGGATTACAGGCGTGAGCCACCGCGCCCGGCCAATACTGGGAATTTTAGCACTTACCCCTTGGCCTTATCTTGGGTATATGTATTGTGGTTTTTGGGTCCTCAACAAAAAGGAGGCTAATTCCAGAGAATCCTTTCTTTTTGAAAAAAATGTTTAGATATAGTTCATATTGATCACAACCCTCTGATTCCATGATAAGATTTTTGAGTTTGGCTTCCTTTATTTGGGTAATAGGTAGGCTCCTGGAGGCAGGGTAAAATGACAAGGAAAACCAGAGACTATGAATCAGAGTGTAATGGTAGCCAGGTCTCACTTCAAAACGCCAGAAGATAGTTCAGGGTTCCCATTCAGATGAGATAGTAGAGGCTGTTGAAAGCAAGAACTTCTTACATACTCTCTAATGGTACACATTTACAATCAGCTATTCATTTAGATTTGATCCGATGGGTTGCATTACCCAGTTTGTTGCTAATTTGTCCGTATATCATTTGTGGTACATAAAATTTGAAAATATGTGTACTGTTTCCAAGTTGGTCTTTTGTTTTGTTTTGTTTTGTTGTTGAGACAGAGTCTTGCTCTGTCAACCAGGTTGTAGTGCGGCGGCGTAATCTCAGCTCACTGCAGCCTTTCCCTTCGGGGTTCAAGCAGTTCTTGAGTCTCAGCCTCCCGAGTCGCTGGGACTACAGGAGTGAGCCACCGTGCTGGGCCTGTTTCCAAGTTTTAAAGCTTATAATTAACAAGTCCTGACTAGTATAACTTTTTAATTTTAGAATTATAGAATTTTACAAATAAGTCGTTTTCAAGATTATCAACTTTATAGTTTCTTCGTTATGTACATAAAGCAGTTATAGTCCATAGTAACTAAGAAGTGAAGGCTCCCCTACAGTAAAACAGATAATTAGTGGGATAGAATTGCAGCTAAAACCTCACCCTGGAATGGTGCTACTCCTTGTAAGCATTAGAATAGAAGGCCTTCAGCAAAATAATTGTATTTTTGGTGGAACAAACTGCCACAAATTAGCCTATAAATTTGCCAGCTTAATTTGAACTCTGGGTTTTCTCTTAGATCTCATTTTGTCTGACTGTTGTATGTTAAATCACCAAGCAGCTAACTGCATTTATGCCAGTGCAGGACAAGGAGTAAAGCAATAAAGAATGCACATGCTCTAGGGAAGTCTCCACACCTCCCTCCTGCTCCCCAGGTTTTTACGAGGGAGGTTGTGTAATCTAGGAGAAGATTCTCCACTTAGAGAAAAACAAATATGATTTGAGAGACAAGAAGTTCAGCTCTGGGAATCTTTTGGAAGATGAAAAAAATCAGCAATATGTTTAACTCAGAGAAAGGAAGGAAAAGGGAGAGTGTGAAGGGCAATGGAAATCTGTTAGGAACAGAATGTTTCAGTGGTTGCTATTTGGGAGAATAAATACATCCAAAGAGATCATTAATTGGAACCCAGGTTTCTTCTGCCTAAAGGAGGACATATGGTTACTTAGTCACCAGTGGTGCAGTGTATAGTGTAATTCATGATCCATATAAACCATATAATTTATCATCCAAATCAGGACAGTTTTGAGCATGAAAGGGAGTTGCTGTTAATAGTATACAGAGGTTGAGTGTGGTGGCTCAAGACAATAATCCCAGCACTTTGGGAGGCCAAGGCAGAAGGATTGCTTGAGGATAGGAAGACCTATCCTCAAGACCTATCCTTAAGACCAGCCTGGGCAATACAATGAGATCCCATCTCTACAAAAAATTTAAAAATTAGCCAAGTGTGGTAGTGTGCATCTATAGTCCCAGCTCCTCGGGAGTCTGAGGTGAGAGGATCGTTTGAGCCCAGGAGGTCTAGACTATATATAATTTATATAAATATGATTATATGTACTATAATATACATTAAATCAGGGGTGTGGTTATCCTGGCCAATAGCCACTTGGTAAAAGAATGGCTAACGCTAACTTTCTTCCCAGACTAGTTCAACAGTGACCCCTTCTGGCCGTTTGGTTAATATGTCAGCCTGGGTTTGCCAAAGGCGGGATGGAATGGTGGCCAGTTGAGACGTTGGTAGGCTGGGGAAGCACTGGAGAGAGCAAGAGGAGCATCTGGGATTGGTCTGAGAAAAGGTTCAGTGATCTACTTGGCCTAACCTAGGATGATTAGCTGTGCTGCAAGCAGCCACTTGATCAACAGCCTTCTGTGCTATTGCCGCCATCCAGGCAATGAGAAAATTTCCCTGCTCTATGCTGTCTAGTAGCAAAGAAACAACAAAACAGTCTTAATTTGCATATTCTATCCCTTGTGTTTCAGGATCAAATAGTGTGAGATTGTAGCCCCTCTGGACTTGTTTAGGAAAAATGGAGGTATGTTAGTTACTTCATGGACATGACTTCTGGGATACTTCAAAAAAAGATTTTTTTTTTTTTTTTTGAGACAGAGTCTCCCTCTGTCTCCCAGGCTGGAGTGTAGTAGCGCAATCTCAGCTCACTGGAACCTCCGCCTCCCGGGTTCAAGAGATTCTCCCGCCTCAGCCTCCCGAGTAGCTGGGATTATAGGCGCCCACCACCATGCCCAACTAATTTTTGTATTTTTAGTAGACACAGGGTTTCACCATATTGGCCAGGCTGGCCTCAACTGCTGACCTCAGGTGATCTGCCTGCCTCGGCCTCCCAAAGTGCTGGGATTACAGGCATGAGCCACCATGCTCGGCCCAAAAATCTTTTTAATGTATTATTTTTTAATAGGCATAGAGCCAATGCAGTGACTTCTGGGATATAGAAGGGGGATTATATGCTCAGATTTTGTTTTATTTTGCTTTGTCTTATTAAAAATTATCTTTTTAAAAATAATTTTTTTCTTCTTTTTTTTAGTTGACACATGGTGGCAGTAAAAAATAATTTTAATAGAGATAGGGTTTCACTGTGTTGCCCAGGCTGGTGTCAAACTCCTGGGCTCAAGCAGTCCTCCTGCCCTGGTCTCCCAAGGTGCTGGAATTACAGGTGTGAGCTCCTGTACCCGGCCTGCTTTCTCTCATAGATGAGAAAACTGAGGCATAAGGAAGTTAAGGTTATAGAGGAAGAAAGCTGATTGGAAAGCTTGAGCTATGACCTTTCTGACTCTTAAATCCGTTAAATTAATTCTTAGTTTTCCATTGGATTGGTATATTTAATGTAAAATTTTTATTTCCTGTATTATAACATCAATACAACCAGCCTGGGCTGGGCGCGGTAGCTCACGCCTGTAATCCCAGCACTTTGGGAGGTCAAGGCAGGCGGATCACTTGAGGTCAGGAGATTGAGACCAGCCTGGCTAACATGGGATACGAATATAAAAATACAAAAATTATCCCGGCATGGTGGCTTTCGCCTGTAATCCCAGTAACTTGGGAGGCTGAGGCAGGAGAATCACTTGAACCTGGGAGGCAGAGGTTGCATGAGCCTAGATCATGTCACCACCCTCCAGCTTGGGTGACAGAGCAAGACTCCATCTCAAATAAATAAGTAAATAAATAAATACATAAAATACAGCTAGCTTGGGCAACATGTGAAACCCCGTCTCTACAAAAAATATAAAAATTAGCCGGGCATGGTGGTGTGTACCTGTAGTCCCAGCTACTTAGGAGGCTGCGGTGGGAGGATCATTTGAGCCTGGGAGGTGGAGGTTTCAGTGAGCTGAGACCATGCCACTGCACTCCAGCCTGGGTGACAGAGCCAGACCCTGTTTCAAAAAATCACATCAAATGAAATCAATATATTCCCACAGTTTAATATCCATAAAGTACAGAAAGGGCATAAAGTAAAATGTCTTCCTCTCAAGACCTGTCTCACAGCCACCTGGTGTCTCTATAACAGGCCACCAGTATTACCCATTTCTGTGAATAGCTAAGTAAATTGTTTATATATCCTCCCACCTTTTAGTGGGTGTATTATGCTATATTCAATCTTCCTTTGAAATGTAGGTCATTTCCTATAAACTGTACTGCAATGAATAATGTCTGTATTTACTGTGAGAGAATTCCCAGAATTAGAATGACTGGGCCAAAGCTATAAGCATTTGTCGTTTGTCTTTTGATAGATACTACCTAATTGCCCCTCTTGGAAGTTGCTGATACTCCTTTCAGCAGTGTATTATTTCTTGGTTTAAAATCTACTTGTTTATCAATAAAGTTTTTTGAAAACAAAACTTCATAAACCTCCTGAGAACCAATTCTCTTCTCCTTGTTTCATTGCCCTGAAGAGAGGAAGGAGATGTATCTGACCCTGAGCCTCAGTGTATCTGACCCTAAGCCTCAGTGTATCTGATCCTCAGCCTTAGTGTACCTGACCCTGAGCCTCAGTGTACCTGACCCTGAGCCTCAGTGTATCGGACCCTCAGCCTCAGTGTACCTGACCCTCAGCCTCAGTGTACCTGACCCTCAGCCTCAGTGTATCGAACCCTCAGCCTCAGTGTACCTGACCCTCAGCCTCAGTGTATCTGACCCTCAGCCTCAGTGTATCTGATTCTCAGCCTCAGCACAGTGTATCTGATGACACTTTGACCTGTCTTTCCCAAATGATGTAAATGCTCCTACTGTTATTTTCTGCTGCAGTAAAATAGCTCTTCCTTTATTCACATAAAGGGATAAGTTACATGGACTCCTTATATTTATTATTTAAAACATGACGAACCATTATGCTGATCTCGTTTTTAATGTTTATTTGGCTTTGGAATTAGCCTTGTTCCCCAGGAAATCATTTCCTGGCTTCTGAGTTGACAACTGTCTTATTAGTTGTGCCTGACAAGTTTGGTACAACCAGGCTACCAGAGGCAGTTAGTGCAGATGATGATGTTAAAAATCTCTTTATAGGCTGAGTATGGTGGCTCACACCTGTAATCCCAGCATTTTGGGAGGCCAAGGTGGGATTGCTTGAGTCCAGAAGTTCGAGACCAGCCTGGGCAACATGGTCTCTACAAAAAATAATAATAAAAAAAAAATTAGCTGGCATGGTGGTGTGCATCTGTGGTCCCATCTACTTCGGAGGCTGAGATGGGAGGATCACTTGAGCCCAGGAGGTCAAGGCTGCAGTGAGCTCTGATCGTACCACTGCACTCCAGCCTGGATAACAGAGTGAGACCCTGTCTCAAAAAAAAAAAATGAAAAGGTGTTTATAGTCAAGTTATTTTTCATAACCCAACCTACCCCCAAATTAGGGTGAATACCCAGAGAACATCTAAAGAAAGGAGTATGCAATGGGGCCGGGCGCGGTGGCTCACGCCTGTAATCCCAGCAGTTGGAGCCGAGGTGGGGACACGAGGTCAGGAGGATCGAGACCATCCTGGCTAACCAGCTGTTGGAACCCATCTCTACTCTAAAAAAAGAAAAAAAAAAAAAAAATTAGCCTTTTATGTGTGGGTGTTGCCTGTAAGTCTCAGCTACGTCGGCGAGACTGAGGCAGAATCGGGCATGAACCATGGAAGGCAGAGGTGTGCGAGTGAGCCAAGATTGCGCGCACTGCTACTCAACCTGGAGACAGCGAGACCTCCACCTCAAAAAGAAGAAAAAAAAAAAAGATATAAATAAAAAGGAGTATTGCAGGTCATGGAACTGTCACCCAGGCCCTTTTATATATAATTGTCCAAGTACAAGATATCGAATCAATGTATTTTTGTGGCTGGGCACAGTGGCTCACACCTGTAATCCCAGCACTTTGGGAGGCTGAGGCTGGCAGATCATTTGAGACCAGGAGTTCGAGACCAGCCTGGCCAACAAGGAAAAACCCCATCTCTGCTAAAAACACAAAAATAGCCAGACGTGATGACATGCACCTGTAGTCCTAGCTACTTGGGAGGCTGAGGCAGGAGAACCACTTGAATCCAGGAGGTGGAAGGTGCAGTGAGCCGAGATCATGCCACTGTACTCCAGCCTGGGCAACAGAGTAAGACTTGGTCTCAAAAAAAAAAAAAAAAAAAAGTATTTTTGTGATCTATTCTTTCATTTGGATTTAGGTGAGCGACCTGTGAGAGTTTATGCCGATGGAATATTTGACTTATTTCACTCTGGTCATGCCCGAGCTCTGATGCAAGCAAAGAACCTTTTCCCTAATACGTACCTCATTGTGGGAGGTAAGAAAACATTTGGTGACTTCAGGTGCAGTGCAGAAAAAGATGAGAGTAGAGTCTGTATTTCTCTTCTGTCTTTATAACCTGAGTACACCGGCTCTTATTTCCGTTTTTAAGTGAAGGATGTAGTACAGCCTCTCTAAAACATGAAATATATGAGGCACCAGCAACCTAAACCTGGAGAGAGGAGCTTCAAGCTCATTGACTGTGACGTCTGACATTTATCTCACTGTTTTTAGCCGAGTTTCTGCCAGTCACAGGAGCAACAATGACTTCTGTTGCCCAGTTAAAAAACATTTGCTTTAGATTTCACTTTATTATTTTGAATCAACTGGAATACAAAAGTCTGCCAAGGAAATGTCATGTGGTCCAGTCCAGTGTGAATAAAATAGGAAAACATGTTTAAGGACTTAATCGATACAGACATGCACAGCAGGTTGATTTCAGAGTCGAAGATCTTGGTCACCTGTTGTACCGTCTCTTCTCCAAAGTATGAACATACTATTTAGTGAGTGTTGCTCCTGAAGGTATACGCTGCATTAGGAAAAGCGTTGTTACCCAGGTTCAACTGCCTTTAGAAGACTTTTCTTCAGTTGGGGAAGATGGTTGCAGTCCTAAGCAGTGGGAGAAGATGGGAGAGGTCAGTGGCTGAGGAGTGGCTAAGCAAAGAGGACTCCGACCCACAGTTTATGATGTGGTGAACTCAGTTTGCAGCGATGAGCTCACACACAACTTCAAAGGCTTCACGGTGATGAATGAGAACGAGCGCTATGACGCAGTCCAGCACTGCCGTTATGTGGATGAGGTGGTGAGGAATGCGCCCTGGACCCTGACACCTGAGTTCCTGGCCGAACACCGGGTAAGAAACTGGACACATATTCCCCTTCCTTGTTCCAGAATCCCCTCAACTCTTACGACTGCTGGCACGCAGGCTGGTTTTCCACTAGCTCTGTTTGACTTCTACCTCATATGTAAGTTTCATAGGAGATGACAGTGATATTACTAGTGATAATAGTCATCCCTGACGTTTATATGGGGTTGGATGGTTTGCAAGCACTTTTACATCCATTCTATTCCATTTTCTCCCCACAACAATCCTGTGGTGTGGTTATCATTTCCACTTCACATGTGAGTAACAAGTCCTAGAGAAACCAAATAACCTGCTCCAAGTTACACCATTGGCAGAGCTGGGAATTGAACTTGTCAGTTACGAGACTTTTCCCCCCACACCACAGGCATGTCTACCCTTAGAACGTGCCAGTCTCCTGAGAAGATCCATAGCCCCAGGCGAACTCTGAAGACGGTCACATTACCAGGAAACAAGACAGATTAACATAGACTTTTCCTGGCTCAAGTTTCATTTCAGGGTTTTGGTCTTAGGCTAGAAATTGGGTGGAATCAGAAACCAGGGATATTTCTCACTGTTTCTCAGTAAGTTATTATCAACCCCTTACCTCCTTTTAATTCTCCCACATTAAAGTAACAGATTTCAGCCAGGTGCAGTGGCTCATGCCTGTAATCCCAGCACTTTGGGAGACCAAGGTGGGAGGATCGCTTGAGCCCAGGAGTTCGAGACCAGCCTGGGCAACATAACGAGACCCTGTCTCTACTTTTTAAAAAAAGCCGCAGGTTTCCTGCAAAAGGTGGGTATAAAAGATGAGAAGGATTGATTAGGCCAGGTTAGAGGTCCCCACGCCTGAGGAAACAGCAAGCATGTTATCAGTTCTCTACAGGGGCGTGTGGAATGTTGTAGGTAAATTGTTGAGTGAGGCAGAAAGAATAAAGGCAGCCAAAGGGCTTCTAAAGCAATACATGGGTAGGCCTGAAGAGGGGATATTTACTGTAACTATTGAGGATTGGGACAGATCTTCTATAATTCTCTGACTTTTCTACATCAACACTTAGCAGCCAGTGGCTCCAAAAGTGGTAAGCAAGATTATTCTCAGCATCACAGCCCGCAGGCCCACAGAGAGAATCCAGTTAGGAGAGAAGTAAGCCTCTTCTCATAACTTTTTTTTTTTTTTTTATGGACGAGGCAGTCTCTGCTCGTCACAACCAGACCTGAGTGCAGTGGTGCGCTCAGCTCACTGTAGCCCTCTACCTTCCGGGTTCAAGCCAATCTGCCTCAGCCTCCCCAAGTAGCCTGGGATTCAACCGTCCCGGTTCCGATGCCGTGGCTTAATTTTTGTTTGAGTATTTTCCTAGAGAGCGGTTTCAGCTGTGTTTAGCCAGGATGGTCTTAAACTCCTACCTTCGTGATCTGCCCTCCTTCTGGCCTCCCCAAAGTGCGGGATTAGACCAGTGGAGCACCGGCGCTACGGCCCTTTCTCATACTTTTAGAAACCCTTATTCTGACCCAAATCCTTCCCCAGACCCAGGACAGGAGATTTCCTTCATCTTTTCCTAGGCTCCACCCACTAACTGGTTCCAGCCGAGCTAAACCCTCTGGCCCCCTGTTGACCACAGCAAGATGACTCGGGTGTCCAGAGTGAGGGTAACAGTTCAGTAAAACTAGGAGAAACCAGCGAGAAAAGGCCAGGCTGGGCCGAACTTCTATTTAT